TTTCCTTCTCAGGGGATGATCGCTTCAGATGAAGCTTGTAAAACCCATCTGGCCATAAGCATGAACTACGGGTGTGGTTTAGTCAGTAAGAGTCCGACATATCCTTGCTGCGGCTGCAGAGTATCCTTGAGGATTTCACAGCCGCTCCCCGCCTGGGAGGAAACAAAAAAAAGTCGGCGGTATTCATTCAATGACATTTCGGACTCGCAAACTATTCGAATTCGATATTGGTTCGTGCTAAAGGATAAAGGATTTTGAAACTTTGGCGGGTGAAGATCTTTGGGCATCTGTGACCGTTCATTCACACACTATATTCCTTTGCATCGTCTACCGCTCTGCTACTAACAATGTTTACTTGGATTGGTTTAATGATGTAGAAAACATTATTCATAGTTTAAAAGGACCAGTCATTATATTAGATGATAATTATATAAATAGTACATCAGTGAATATTTCTAATTATTATTGTTATTTTGTATCTTTTTGTTACTTAATAGAAATCAAATTGTTAATTCTCACCGTAGTAAACTTGATATTGTATTAACACAGGAGTGCATTAGTGCTGTTACTGTAACTAATTCCGAATGTGGAGGTCTCGTACGTCCAGATATATACTATCATCCTCCACTTGACGTTGCCGTTACTATTAATAAGAATAGGTCTCTATGTGGATCCATTCAACCTAGCAATATCGATAATAGCAAGGACTGGAATTTTAATAAGGTTGATCAAGGATTTCTGTGCCGTTTAGTGGATGATTTGGATGAACTTTGTTCTCCAGTCTCAGGGGCTCCGAGTATGACGCAGATCTCTCCTATCAACAAATTTCCCGACACCGGGATCAGAAGTAACTCTGCCAGTCAGAACATTAGTCGTATTCTTATTGCGACGAGGTCGTCTAGCTACTTCATTCCAACCTTCCTTATGCGTCCTAGAGAAAAATTAAACAGGCAATGGCGCTGACTTTCTACACTCATAGATAGTGGCGGCGCTAGACCACATGTGGACGTCGGCGACATCAAGTTCGCGAGGCCTATTTTACTTCGCAGTAAAAAACAGTTAAATTAAGTGAGCCAAATTATAAAATAACGTATGAGTAAACGAGTTTTATTGTTGATAATCAAATGTTGACAAGAAATAATTACAAACATAGAAAGGAGATTGGTCAAATTGGCCTAAATGCAAATAAAATATTGACATATACAGTAATTCTTGGCGTAATTTATACTTTATTTTACAGTCATTAGATTTTAACGGCCACCTTTAAATAATATATTAATTTTAAAAAAGGACTTCTATTTTTACCGGTTTGGAAAACATACGAATCATTTTTATTGGCTATGGGTGTAGTAACATTCACAAAGACTGATCGAGGTTGTTTATATAACATCAAAACAAATCTATTTTGTAAAGATTGATAAAATATTTCGATGATATTTTAATTCAAAATGTAGATGATATGTAATATTAAACGCAACATAAAAGTACTTAAGTTGTTTTATTTCATTAATTTACCTTATCAGAATATTTAAGCTATGTCAGGAATATACATATTTCACACATTGATCAGAACTATCATGAACCTACGCAATATATTATTACATTAGAATTACCTTTTACCATTATAAACCTAATTATTACTAAGAAAATATCCTATTGGTTTTTATAAAATTATGATAACAGTTCCATGTTTCTCATAACATAGGTAAGCAGGTACCAGTTCCTTGACATGCATTTTGTTAGTGTAATTAGTGTTAGACACTTGTCAAATGAAACAAGATTGCTTCTGAAAGTCGCAATGGCATAATCGTGATTTTAAAACTTACTCTTGTGCATTAATTTTAAAAACAGGCAATTATCTGTTATTTTACATGCTCTATATACCTGAATCTAATACATAATAGCGGTACTTGGCTTGATTGCCCTATTTTCCTATTTAAGTTATTTGGTTTTTATTATTCTAATACCTATGTGCCTATTTGCAAACATAACCTCAAAATCATTCAGTGTATATGGTTTATAGAAGTTCTCAGGAGTGGCCGTCGATAATATTCGTCTCTACGGTAATTTATATATAATTTCGAATCTAGGAAACAATTTTTCATGGTTATTGGTTTTTAGGCCAAACATGTATGGAAGCTGAGCAATCTCCTTTAATTACAAAAATAGTGTTGCCAGACAGACGTATCTGAATACCTGTAAAGTACTACTCGCTTCCATCACGCAGGTGTTCGAAAATAATAAAAGTCATTATCATCTGCTTAGCTTTTTCCCCGAATTGTTCGGGGTCGGCTACCTAAGCCAGGCCAGGAGAAACGAAAATAAATTTTTAAAATCGGCGGTGGCCGACGTCGCCGACGCCTAGCGCCGCCACTGCTCATAGATTTTTTTACCTGTGGTACTTGGAGTTGGAGCAGGAGCCGCCGCCGTGGACTCAGTTTTATTTGGCACTGGTTGTGTAGGAATGGTGAGAGTGCTCCAAACTTTTTCCAATTGCAGCTACCCTGTCATAGATGTAGACATAGCTTTAGTAATTAAATCGTGCAAAAGTTCAGATATAATAAGATGTAACTCCTAACGTATGATGGATTTAATTTGATCCATAGTGGGAAAGTAATCGCATGCAATCGGCAATGATTTATTAATAATTTGCGACAGGCCTGGTCCACACCGGAGTGTCACATTATCCGGACTATCTTTAGGTATATTGGTATTGTCACCTTTTGGTGCTTTGCATATACATGCTTGACATTTCCAAGCTGCTTCACGATCTATTGACATTGTATTAAGAAATACAGAATTGTGTTATAAAAATTATTGTGTTATGAAATACCGAAAATCTTTTTATATATTTTTTAAGTCCTATTCATAGAAGTAATTATTTTGACACAAAAAAAGTCTTGAATTTATCGAGCCTGGAATCACAGTAGGAAAACCACCATCATTAGATATAATTATTGATACGAGAGAGTATGATTTAAATTGTGATAACTTTTTGTGATATCGTGAATTTCATTCGTAGTACTTCAAATTCATAACTTCACATAGTAATAAAGTAATAATTGTAATCTTATTGTTGTACCTAATCCCTTTTAAAGTATTTAATGACGGCTATTTTATTGAAGTTATACTTCTTTAGGCGCGTTATGAAAAAATGATGAGAGTGATATTTTAAGATGCGCGCGCATCACTGTAACATAAAAATTAACAGCATGAAGTTGGTCGCTAACCGCACATTAAGAAAATCTACCAACAAAATAGAAATAGAATCTCTATTTAGTGGGTGCTAACGACTGCATTGTGAAGGCCTATCAAAAGTATTTATTAATCTGGAACAACGGAACCAAAGCGCGATTCAGGAGACTACAGCGCCATCTCTTGACCATTGGTGTAGTAGAACCAAAAACCACATCTTTATTTTTTGTAATAAAGTAACAGTTATAGGTATTCATATTTATAATATTTATCCACATGTTTCTAGTTTGTATATTCGGAATACGTGTTTGAGTTTCATACAAGTGCAAATCATATGTTCTAATAAATTATATTCAGTAGCGATTTTAATTTAATATTTTGATTATTTATTTATTTTTTCAAATTAAAACTGAACTTTATTGACTGTGTCCTTTTCCAGACTTTTTATTAATTTATTGTAATTAATTATTTGCATGCAATTAAAAACTAATTTTAAACGATGCCAAAGAAGGATAACTTCTCACGCGCCTACATAAGTACACGCACCCATTTTTTTTATATTGTATTTTTGATATGATTACTTATCTTGTATCATAGTAATAATAAAATGAAGTAAAATTAAAAATATGACTATAAAATCTTCTTTATTTATAGTTAGTTATTCTAAGCTTATAAAATAATCTAATCAATAAACATTTTTTCTTTTGTTTTTTAACGTTTTCAACTCACGTGTAAGATAGTTTATTATTCTATGCGATATAAGACAAGGGTTTAAGTGATCCTTGCTGAATCAGGCTTAATCACCGCAGCACTCAACCCTTGCTTGCGTGCGGCGATGCGTAAAATCACTTTGTTCTATTGAGTTCGCTGGCTGGCTGTCTGCCTGCCTGCCGCAACCCCGCGGTTATAATTTTTAGCAAATATAGCTAATGAGAAATTTCAAATGGCTTTTGAACACGGAGTTAGATCTAAACATTCTGTTATGAAATTGCAAGACCCATACGTCTATGTAATTTATATTTGCGTTGATCTTTTTTTTGGTAGCTATGTTTTAGACGATAGCAGGTATTAAAAATCCAATAATTTATGACTACTTAAGTGTTTATTCGCACACTTGAAAAATTAACTTATCATAGATCCTTCGAAAAGTAAAGTGTTTATTTTGACTTTAATCAAAGTAAAGACTTTGATAAAAGTCAATATAAACACTTTAGTTACCGGCAAAAAATATAAAGATATTACTTCCCGGATAGTAAAGTTTTATATTGGCTCAAAGTTTTTCGTACATGTATTCAGTGACATGCTCGGCCGGTCGCTACGGGGCGACGGACTAAGTAGCGTCGCGTCGTAGCCTCGTAGACTACTACGAAATATAAATTGATTGAATAGCTGGGGTTTATTTCAGAACACAGTTTATATATAATCAAAAGGTGTGTTATTATCGCTATTAATTAAGTGTACTATGTAAATAAAATGCTTAGTTACTAGAATGTGAGTACGTGAAAACATAAGAATTAAATAAATAAATTAATACCTATTATTTAATTCATAATAGATTGTATCATTATCATATGTATGATGAACAGTAAATCGATTGATTAACCAAGATTATTTAAGTATGAAGTATAGCTACAATATCTTTGTTTCTAAAATCAAGTTTATCGACTTAAGATTTTTTAGGTAAATAAATAACGTGTGATCCTTTCTGAAATCTACATCATGAATGTAGAGTGCTTATCAAAAGAAGCATGTCAAAGTATGTCTGTGTCATGTTATGTTTATATTTTTGGATATTCTTAAGACAGAGAACTTATGGTTGCGAAAATAAAAGGCTGCAAGTATGTGCGCGCGTCTCGCGACGTCATTGGGTCGGAGGGCGGAGTCGCGCCGCCCTGCGGCCGTGGCAGGCGGCAGTCCGAGTCAGGCCGGCGCGCGCCCCGCACGGCCCCATGGTGGAGCACGCGCTCGTCGACTGCTCCCAGGCGAGCGCCATGCAGACCGTCCCGCCACAACCTCACCGCGACGCCGATGAGGACCAGCTCGCCGATGAGTATGTGCAAAACTTTGAACTCGACCATCTCGAAGATCATCATCTTGTGAAGCGCGAGCCTCTTCGGAGTGGATGGCACGAGCTCATAGAAACCCCGCCGGCATGCGCCCGCGCCTGCCGACCGTGGCCGGATGCGGGCCCCTACCCTCAACCACACGTCGCCATCGCCGTGGATCCCAGCACACCGCCGGAGACACCACCGGCTGCCATCGGCCGCAGCCCCTGTCGAGCTGCACTAGTCGATGACGTCCTGTGGCTCCCGCATATGCGAGAACCACTCGATATGCGCACAGTACCATGCGGAAACTTTGAAGAGTGGGATAGACGTGAGTGGCGGGAGCAAGACCATCACCTTCAGCAGGTCGCCTTGCGGCCGGCGAGCTCCTGTTCGGCGTTATCGCCACGCACCGGTCAACATCCGTCGTACCAAACATCCTCATGCGGTGACGACTTAATAAGCGACGATCTCCTCATGACTCTCAGTGTGCGTGAACTCAACAAACGTCTACATGGATTTCCTCGCGAGGACGTGACACGACTGAAACAGAAGAGACGCACGCTAAAGAATCGCGGTTACGCACAAAATTGCCGAAGCAAAAGGCTGCAGCAGCGGCAGGAGTTGGAGCTAACAAACCGGTCGCTGCAGGACGAGTTGCATGTGCTACAGCTGCAGGTGGCACGCGTGACACACGAGCGGGACGTGCTGAAGCAGCGGCTGGCGCTGGTGGGGCGCGAACACGCGGTGCCACAGCACGCCCCACCCACTCCGCACTCCTCGCCCGAGTTCTTCTCGGAGCTGTGACGGCAGGGCGCGGCGCCGCGGAACGCCGCCTCCTCAGCCTGCGCCTGGCAGCGCTACTGAGGCTGCGAACCACCGCGCGCGTACGCCACATCCCGCCCTCGTGCTTCTGTTAAGTTTGAAATTTAATTATCATCAGTTCCAGTTCTATAGTTTCTTTTTATTATGGTGGAACAATTTGACAGTATGGTTCCGATCGGAACGACTGTTGACACCGTGTTAAATATATGGTTGTGTCGTAAATTATGCATATGCATAGCTTCGTTAAAATACTATAATCTATTATTAACGATAATGTAAGTTAATGATAACATGATCCTGACAACTGATTATTCTATAATTGTAAATAGATACGTAAATTACGAAATTATCTATAGGAGGATTTGTGTTTTCCTAATAAAATATACAAATAAAATATAGGCATTTTCATTAATTTGACCATCTTATAGGGTTTTATCATGTTTTTTTACAACACATTTTATCATAATGTTTATATGCATATCACATTTTCGCCACGAAAAGTTTGGGGAAGTTTGAAATTACGACTACTTAAGTAGGTATTTTCATATTACCAATTCAATTATTATATCAATGAATTTGATGAAATAGAAGCCACTGCAATAAACGAAAAATTAACTTTAAAATAGTAGTAGAATTATTCATTAATTGCAATTTGCATTACTATATACTGTTTATTATTATAATTAAATAAATGCGCTGATCGTGGTGTCTTCAAATATTAACATTATTTATTGAGTTTATGTTGAGTTAGAAACATAGACGTTCTTTTCATTATACTAAATGCAAATACACCTACCTAGTCACCGGTGCTACCTTGGAACTCTGATATGATTTTCTCAAAAAGTATAAAACAAACTATCAACTTATACCTACAGAAAGTGCGTTTCATGATGATTAAGATAGACAGAATAATATAAGATTAATCAATTTATTCCCAGTTTTATTAATCGTTAGAAAAGCAAAAATACAAAATAATAATCAGAGAAATCGATGGATAAAAACTTAAACAAAGAAGTATTTTAATTTTAAAGTACGATAATCGCAACTTTATTCAAAAATTTGCAAATCCTTAGTTCTGAACGTTTTTTGTCATTTTAATCATCATAAAAATAAATAAATATAATAAATATTTCCAACACACGCCATTTAGCCTATCCCCAAAGTAAGCACTATAAGGCTTGTGTTATGGGATGCTAGAGTAAGGGATAGAATACATATACTGTACATTTATAAATATATTTATACAGAAATACATATTAAACATCCATGACTGGAGTACAAATGCTCGTGTTCATCACACAAACATCTGCCCCGACCGGGATTCGAACCCGGGACCTCTCGAGTCGGCGACACCATGAAGCCTGGCGTACAAACCACTCGGCCACGGAGATCGTCATGATCATAAAATGCACTTTCAGTAAATATGGTTTGATATTTGCAAGTTTTATATTTTTTGAGAAAACCAAAACAGATCCGGTTAACCCGGTATATTTGCTGTCGAGTGTATATTGTCATAAGTTTGTGTATTCATACCATGAATTTTTGAGCTTTGAAATTTATTTCATTCAACTAACTTAGATGAATATTGTTTATCAATAGGTTTATCAGGCTTTTAGTTCTATTGAACTTATATTCAAATAGTTTATTTACTACACAAGCTGACAGCTAATAAAATAAAATTCTCATGGTACGCTCATGTGTAATAAAAATTAATAAGAAAATCATTTTTAAAAAAACGAGCTTTTATTGCTTGTTATAAAAAGAACTAAAAAGTTAAAAATAATTCATGCTGATAAAATATAAACCATTTTATGGGTACATTATATCCATTTTTTTAAATAAAAGCGCATTACAGCTTTTTCATTTCTCTTGCCGACAAAATGTAACACGCTTTTATTTAAAACCAGTGAACTCGCTTCGCTTCGGTGCAGACTATACTGCTATAGGATATATAATATCACCCTTCGCCCAGTAGGAGCGGAGGATCGATGAAAAATGTTCCAATAACGGGTAAAATAAAGATGTTTTATTTGTGAGCTTCCGTTGCGTGCGCTGGGCGAACAGTTAAAGTTACACTAAAATCATGTATGACGGAATTGTTTTCTTTTTACACGTTGGGTTACATTATCGAAATTCTCATATGGAACCCTAACTTTATTGAAAATACTCTATAGCTTATGTTCATCAGGGACAATGTAGGATTCTAAATGTGAAAGATTTTTTCAAATCGGTCCAGTAGTTCCGGAGCCTATTCAATACAAATAAACAAACAATTAAATATTTTCTCTTTATAATATTAGTATAGAAAAACCAGCCAAGAGCGTGTTGTGCCACGCGCAGTGTAGGGTTCCGTAGTTGCCTATCGTTATTACAATATATTTGAGTAGCAATCTTTATTTTCTGTATCGCAAATTAAAAAGAAAAATTAATATCAAACTATATATCTCTACTAATATATCTATATCAAAGTCAAACTGCGTCGCAAACGCAAAATTGATACTTTACGAATCGTACCCACCGATCTTTTCAATTGCTTAAATATATCACCTGAATATAATAAAATACGTAGAAGCCGTTGCCGTAGGTACTCACGTCGCCGTAGCTTTGTGGAACTAATGATATTTTAATGTGGTTTCAATTTTTTTTTAGTTTGTTTTTCATTGCAAAGTTTTACGCTACAATAACTTCATATATGTCACTATTAATGTTTTCTTCTTAAGAATTTTTAATAGGTAAGTACTTTAATCAAAGTTGAAAGATTATTACTCTTAAACTAACAAATCTATCTTAACTGTTATAATTTTCCTTAAAAGTACATAAAAAGCACAATTTTAATGATATTTTCCATGTTTTTCAAGCCAATTAGTTTAGCTTTTAGAGGGGGGGCGCCCTACTAGAACAAAAAAATACTCTTTAAAGTTCAATATTACGCAAACAGATACCTTAATCGAAATATAGTCTTATGAGCCCTAAGTAATTTTAAAGGACCTATTTAACGATACCCTACACGATAGGGTAGACGATGAAAAAAAATCATACATCATCATACATGTAGGGGAGCTACGCTAAAAAATCTTTTTCAAAATTTTATTCTTCCTTTTGTCGGCGTGATTGATATACATATCTCCCCAAAAAATTACAGCTGTATAGTGCTAACAGTCTCCAAGCAAAACCGGGGACGGACATGAAAAAACTATAAGGGTTCCTTGTCAGGACTACGGAACCCTAAAAAAAAACGACGGGTTGCACTCCGGGAGTGCCGGCAGATCAATCTATCAATTATGTGGTAGAATACAATATTTATTTATTGCGCTATCGTACACAAATATGACAATTTATATTACATTAAAAAGTTTATCTCTCAGAAAAATAAACTTACATGAATCACATTTAAGCGCACCTAGCGACATGTATTGTAAAAAAAATGCATTTTCTTCGCAATAAAGCTGCCACCTGGACGTCTTTATTATTATAATACGATAAAATAAAATATAACTATGTTTCGTCCAATATATTGAAAGACAACAACCTTTCCAATTTTATTGTTTTCGTCTTACGAATTTTCGATTACGTCACGTGGACACGTGACCTAATCAGGACGTCGGGACTGATGCGATCAGGCCACGTGTTCTGACGCGAGTTTAACAGTTTTTACCCATTACAAAATAGTGTACAACGCCGCTAAAGTGGTTCTCTACTATGAAACGTGATATTTTTCAGCTGCTTTTGCTAGTTTTAAAAGTACAGAACACTTCATTTGCGAGAAAAGCTCGCACTTGGCCAGTTTTTACAAGCTTTTATTTAAGTTGCACCGTTCGTATGTAATATATAGCTTCAACATTTGTTAACCATATCTAAAAAAACTATTTAAAATCACAATTCAATATCATCAGTTCCACAAAGCTACCGCGAGTGCCTACCAACGGCAACGGTTTCTGAACCGGGCTATCGTTACGTTTTTATATAAGAGTATAATAATATATGCACTGAAAAAATCGGTCGTTATTCTACATCATCCCCCTCTCAGGGGATGATCGCTTCAAATAAAGTTCGTAAGGCCCTTCCAGCCATAAGCATGAATCACAGACAGGTATGTCTTGGTCAGTAGGAGTCTGATATAACCTTGTGCAGCCGGCTGTCGTGTATCCATGAGGATTTCACACCAGCTCAACCCGCCTGGGAGGAAACAAAAAGAAATCGGCTGTTATCATTATAGGCGGCGTATTTAAAAAAATAAATAATATCGAGTCGATTTTGAGTTTGAGATGCAGTTGGACTTTGTTTCAGGTATTTTTAGTTTAGTTGAGATACATAGTTAGTTTGATATTAATTGCTTTTTTTTAATTAACCCATACAGAATATAAAGAAAAGAGACTCCTGCTCACATGTAATGTGGTAACGACAGGCAATTACGGAACCCTACACTGCACTTGACCGGTTTTTTCGTATATTTTGAGATAACGACCACAGTAACACGCACTTTTTAAAAAGTACAGGAGTCTATCTATTTCCGTTTCTATTCCGATAGATAGCGGGAGGCATTTTAAGGCTCCTTTTCTCACCATTTCAGTACGGAACCCTATAAACAATGTGGAGGGTGACTAACTTTTTTGGCTACTTCTACCAGTAGATAATGAAAAAGTATTGGACACGTATTTTTCATTTTTTCACATAATCAAATTATTAAAGAGATAAATGATGTTTTGTAAATGTCGCATGACGTCACGTCTTTGTACAATTTTTACTCAGAAGTGACGTCACGAGCCCCCATTCCCAAACTTTGACGCGCTTTACCTTAATAAGTACCTTTAAATTATTTTTTGGTCGATTGACAAAAAAAAATAAGTGTCCATTATTTATTGATATTCTAACTGACGGACTAAATATTTAAATTTCTTTTTCTCTTCCCCGCCATCATCTTCGAAGCATCACTAGGAAAACTAATTTGGATTATAGTTTTTTGCTCTGTCTTTATTTTAATATAGATGGCAATGTAAAAAAGTTTTTTTTTAACAATAGAAATTTGAAAGGATGTTCGGAATTCCAGATTGTGTATTGGTTTATGTCTCGATATTTCGCGTTAATATTCTTTAATCTAAGCATTTCACCGTTGCAAAGTCAGAGCGGATGCTTAATAATGAATAAATATTTTTTGTTATTGTTTATTGTGCGTACAATAAGTAAGGTTTTTAGAGGGTAGGGGATGGGATTAGGTTAAACCACGGTGAAAGTGGTTTCTTACTTTTTGGAGGGTCAATTTTCTAACGTTAAAAGTTCTCGTAGAATCATTATGCAGCCAAAAATTTAAGAAAAGACAACTTATGTACATATTCTGTTTACTAATAACTACCTACTTTAAAAATAAAAAGAACCTCCTAAGTT